TCGAACGTGCCACGATTGATAAGTTTCAGTGCGATGCGATTTCCCCAGGCCGTACTTGTGCACTTTCGCGTGCTGCCCCTCTGCTGGGCGCTCCGACGTGGGCGCAAAGCGCAAAGACGCAATATACAGCAGAAGCGGCTTCATCTCTGGGTCCACGATATCTCTACCCTGAACCAACTCCTCGGCTAACTCACGCAAGGGGGGCGACTTCGACCGAGAGACCATAGGATGTGCACAGGGTGATCCCAGAATCCGCGGCGCTGCAGACTGAACTACCAGGGGATCGGAGTGCGCCAGCTTGAATACTGCCCAGGGCGATTGTTCTAGGTGCGACAGCTTCAAGGCGCAATAGAAGAGAACGTGGGCCACGCCCGAATCAAATTCATCGAGCAACGCCTTTTTACTCGCAGGAGACAATTGCCTTGGGAGTGCGATTGCAAGCTCGGCGGCGCAAGTACCTCCAGCCTCGCGAAGTACAATCAAGAATTCGCCGTTGCAGAGCTCAGCAGACCTCATCCCTCTCATGGGGCACTGCTGCCATTGGCGCCACAGTTGGTTGGGCACGCTGTCCTTGCCCTTCTGCATGAGGTGCCAGTGACAGCTGCAAGAATAAACCCAGTTAGAAGCTCGACGAAGACACACGCAGATGTGCTCGACCATCGCCCACCAACTCCAAAACATATCATCGTGAATTGCATCGTGAGCTGCATCGAACAGCTCTCTCACGTCTTGGCCGTTGCCAAGGAGATCTCGATTGAATCCATAGCGTAAGATGCGCTCCATCTCAAGCAAGCGAGGGGCAGTGAAAGCCACGGTGCCCCACCGGCCAGGATGCATGTGACCCTTGAACTGGTATATGGCCTTGCGGAATTGCCTCCCAATCGGATCGCGAAAACAGACCTCTAAGATTTTATCGCGCGTGTCTTTCCTCCTGATCGCCTTGCAAAGTTTTCTACCCCTGTCAACCATGTCTGTGTAATTACACATAGCATCATCAAGCCCAGCGGTTGCGTTATCAATCAGGTGGTGCAAAGCAGGCAATTCGAGCATCATGTCCAAATTGATGTCGACCTCCTCTGGAGCTACTTCGAATACAGCGAGAGCATCGTCGACGCCGAGGTCTTCGCCGTCGCCAACGTCCTCGAAGACGCACTCTTCTAATCTGGCGTCGGATGGATCATCCTCGATTGGCTCCTCCCAGACCGAGTCGCCATGCTCATGCGATTGTCCTTCCATCTCCTCCAGCAGTGACTTCACAATGTCAGGTGGCGTATCAGTAAAATATGGAATGAGTCTTTGCGATGACATCGGTTTCACTCTGCTCAGGAATCTCTCCACACCGTAATCCGACATATTCAAAATAATCTCGGAAAACCACTTCGCCAAAGAAGTATTCGAGAAATGCTCTAAGCGAGCTGCATGAAGGAGAGTGCAATACTTATGGGCAAAGCTGCTTCTGCCGAAACCCACGCACACCGCAGGGAGCGCGTGATCTGATATTCCACGTCGGATGCAGTCCATGATCTTCAGTTCTTTGTCGTACCTGTCGTGGCCCATCAAGGCGTTGACGTCGGCGTCCTCGTCAGGCCGCCTGTACCACAAATCTTCTAATTGAAGAAAGGCCTCGTACATGGCAGGGACGTCCACTTGTGGAATCGACCGCACAATGCACATGACATAATCGCGGCCATGCTGTGGAGATGAATCCCAACTGATATACCGAACAAAAACTTGTTTCGATGCTAACTGCTTCCAGTGTTGCACCCTGTACCACGTCATCAAGGACACATCAGCGGTGAGGCGAGCTCGACTTATATCAGATTTTGTCGGAGGCGGTTGCTTCCTCAGGTCTTCGATCATGCCTCTAGCGGCGTTCGGCGGGAAAAGAATCTCGCACGATCGTTGCAACACTGCGCCCATGGTGTCAGAATTCCTCAAGTGCTTGGCCAACCTAAGGAAGCTCAGCATCTCACTGGCAGAACGCATCCGCTTGACAAAAAATCCTCCGCCAGGCCGTCGCAAGTGCGTCTGCTTCATCAGCGCAATCCACTTCGACAGAAGCCCGAAGCTCCCAGGAAACTCTTGAACTGCGCGCTGCATTGAACTCATTCCAGAACTCGCCATGGACGCGTCAAAAGCGCAGACTTCGACGCGTGGTGGCGCCTGATGGGGCGGGACTGTAGCAGCGAAACTCGCTTGAACTCTGCTACCAAACTTGCTCTGCAACCACTTCGGAGAACCCAGATACCCTGGACACCAAGGCGATGGAAGAGCAATGCTGCGATCACCACCTCCGGCGATAGAATTGCAAAATGGGGGTGGCACAACACAGCCGAGCTTCGGATATCGGCGCAACCAATTGCAGTCAGGGGTGAGGTTGAAGAGCTCTTTTGCTTCATCTGGCTGGAACCAACAATACGTCTGACACTTATGCGATTCCACAGCGAAAAGTTTCGAATGCACATATTGTTCCAACACTTGGAGTTCCAGTATGCTCCAAAACCAAATCTGATCCTCAGGGACACCGTGCGCGTCCCAGTAATCTGCATACCGCTGCTGGCAGGCATCTAAAGGTTTCGCGAAGTGGTTCTGAAATGCTGGCGAGACTCGGGCTGCAGCGATGACCCTCCCCGATGTCACCTCGCCATCGCCATCTGCTTCGAGTGAACGTTTCACCCTGTGCCGCCCCGAAACACCTGCCCAGGAGAAGGGCCGAGCAGCAGTGCTTCTGAATTCGCGAGGCCCTGACACCAAGAAGACATTAATCATCAAAGATACAAGCATCGAAGCTACATTCGGCTACAATTGGCTAGACATGCAACTTGAGCCACAGTGGACTACTGGCAGATCCGAAGAAGAAAAAATGCAGACGGATGGGCGCTTCAATCTGAGAGGCGAAATGGTTTCTCGTTTGACAAGATGTTGACTCTGCTCTGCTCAAGACCATCATCGGGCACATTTTCGGGGCCTCTCGAAGTGCAGACGGGACCAGACTGAGTCGGTTTGCCAGAGGCTCCATATTTTTGCGTGTTTTGAATGTGATGCCGATCAGGGTCTCTTGGAGGCTCGTTTGGCGTGCTTCCGCAGACGCGGGCATTGAATCCTCCTTCTCCTCCATATCCTCCTCCTCCTCCTCTTCCTCCTCCTCCTCCTTCCCTTTTCTGTCTTGATGCGTGTAATGGACGCCGCGGAGGGGGGGGAAGATTAAATCCTCGGGCGGCAACTAAGGAGAGATGGGAAGAAGCTGACATGGAGAAGATAAACAACGAAACACAGAAAGAGGAGAAGACACAGGATGAAGGGAGGTGGTGATCTACAAAGAGAAGGATAATATGAGGTGTTGGAGGTTGGGAGGAGTTGGTCAGCTTCGGTCTGCACGCTGCTGGGCCCCAGCAGATGCAAAGGGCCCATTCACAAACCTACCAGTTTGGGGTCACCGAACTGCGCCCCTGGCCCCCGACCTACACCAGCAACAACAACGGCTCCGGCCTGATACCTCCTTGCGATCTATTTCACAATCGCGCTCTCGCGCGGGACAGCCGCACAGTTTATCCAGGACTCGCGTTCTCGCGTAAGACTTCCTCTGAATGTATTGCGGCGCCACGCCCTCGACTCGCAGGAACCACGCTCTCGCTTTGGATTTCGTAGCGATTTGCTTGAGAATCGCGCTATCGCTCGAACATTCCTTACGATTCATGTTGGATTGACGCTTCAACGACCCGCCCGCTCGACTCGGCCGTTTGTGTCCGCCCGCCCGACCTGCCCGTTATGGTCCGCCCGCCAGACCCGCCCGTCGGGTTCTGCCGCTTGAAGTCCTGCTCCTAGCCCCCCTCCAGCAAATCTCTCTCGTGCTCCATGCTTCTCCCTCCCCCTTGGTCTCTTCCTTCCTCCTTCCCTTGCCTGTTTCAGTGGCTGCTCCAAGTATGCGTGGCAGGTAAGAAAGGTATACCCCCAAGAGGGGCACGATCGAAGACGAAGTGGGCGGGTATCGAGGGCTCGGGAATATACATGTTCATTTATCCGCGGGCAGATGAAAATTAACAAGCTTAAAACGATTGCTGTTGTCGTCGAAATCCGCTGCGAAAGAAGGCGGGCTCGTACCGTCACGCGGCGGGTTATCCTCAATGGCCAGCGCCGATGGCTAGTTTCGCAGCGTGAAACCACCCTGGAATGGGCGTCGAAGGAACCAAACCTTGGCAGTCGAGACTCCGCGCCCGGCTTTGTAGTTTTGGGCCGCGCGAGACCCAACGGCAAATAACCTGTGGCTCTTGTCTCGCGAGAAGGACGAACGGTTCCCCCTTCGAGTGAAAGGGATCTGCATAGGAAAAGGAGGAGGAGGAGCGGTCCTCGAGGAGCGGGGAAGAGGAGGAGAGAGGAGGAGAGAGGATATAGGAGGAGGGCGGGGGAGGGGGGGGGGGCAGGGGTTGGACGGTGGGAGGAGGATGGCGAAGGGAGCGGAGGGGGGCAAGGATGACGAGGGAACGCACAGGGTAGTGGGTGAGGCACCAGACCACTCCAGCGTCCCCACCACGCCCGTCGGAGGAGAAAGGCGCGACCACCCGCGGTCCACCGCCAACCGCCCACAGGCCGCCCACACCCCATCGTCACCACGACGAACCAGCAGCCCGCCGCCCTCTGCCCGCCCACCACCCACCCGCTCGTGGCCCACCCGCTGCCCTCCGGCCACCCTCCGACGCCCACCGCCCACCACGGCCTCCCACCCGGCCACCACCACCCGTCAAGACCTGGGCGGGCCAGGCCCCGCCCCCCGCCCCCCCAGGGCGCAGGCCCGGCGGCCCGCCCTGCTCCGCCCCCCCGCTCCTCCTCCCTGCCTCGGTCGCTCCTTCCCTCCTTGCTTGCTTGCTTCCTTCCTTCACTCACGCCTTCCTCTCTCTCTGCCTCTCTCTCTCTCTCTCTCATTTTTGTCTCTCTCTCTCTCTCTATCCACCTCCCCCCTGTGCTATGCAGGTGAGGCCTATGATGTCCCCCTGCGGCCTGGCCTGGCAACAAGCCTCGACCTCCTTGTCGGTGTACCTGTGAGCGTGCTCAAGAACCTCACGGCAATGGTACTGATGATCCTGCGGGCGACGGTGCGAGAGACGTCGGCCATGCAGACGCAACCAATTGCGACTGGTCCTAGTCATGTTGCAAATCAGATTCAAAGACCAAAGACCGTCGCGGCAGGTACCCCAACAACTCCGCGCACCGCTCGTCCATTACAAATACGACATCTTTGTATGTCATTTGGGAGAAAACGACCGCTCCACGCACACACGGCACCACGCGCACCCGCCACCAACAGCGCACGACACCATAGGGCACGGGGCCAAACGCACGCAACACCGCACGGCACAATTCCATCACGCGTACTCGGCAAACCGCGGCGCGGGAATGTGTACGGCACGGCGCCGCAAACAAACATACGTAACGCACGCACAGAGAACGACTCGGCGCCATGCGCGCTGCAAGGCACGGCGCACGACGCGCGCGACGGAACGCGATCCACCGTCGCCCGCCTGAAACTTTTTACAACGAGGGGGTCAGAAACCAGGGGGCGCCCCCCCCCTCCCCCCTGGGAAGAACCTAGGGGGTCTGCCCCCCCCGCCCCCAGGAAAATTACTTGGGGGTCCATAGAGGCCTCCCAGATGGGGTTGGAGTAGATGGGGTCGGAGGATCGCGCCGCATCGCCGATACATCGGCGATGCACCGGCGATGCATCGTCGACGTCGGCGATGCAATGGCGACGTTGACGTGAAGCACATCGGGCTGTACATCGGGCCACATCGGCGATGCATCGGCGATGCGGAGCGATCCTCCGACCCCATCTACTTCGATCCCATCAGGGGGGCCTAGAATCCAGAACCCCAGGAAATTATTGTAGGGGTCCAGAACTGGCCCCCCCCCCCCCCTCGGACAAGTATTAGAGGGGTCCAGAAACCCCCTCTTGGCAACGACGATGACGACGGCGACGGCGACGGCGACGGCGACGGTGCCGGCGGCGACGACGACGACGACGACGATTTGACGACGACGACGACGTCAGCGGGGGCGGCGGCGCTACTGTCGCCAACGCTCGCGCCAGGCGCCGGCTCTGATGGAATGCCAGTAGGGCTCGCCACAGCTCTCTCAGTATCCTACCAGGGCCCACTGTACTCTATCTTACTCTACCCTATTCTATTGTATTGTACTGTGCTCTACTCTACTCTCCTCTCCTCTATTCTACTGTGCCCTACTCGACTCTACCCTACCCTACCCTGCCGTTCCCTAACAGAACATACTCTACTCTGCTCCACTTTGCTCTTGCTCTACTTTACTTTATTATACTCTACCCTACTCTATTGTACTCTACCCTACTTTACCCTACTATTTTTCTCTGCTCTACGCTACTCTCCTCCACTCTGCCCTACTCTATTCTACACGTATCTACTCGGCCCTACCTTACCTTAACAAACTCTTCTCTACTCTTTGCTCTTTACTCTTTGCTCTTTGCTCTTTGTTGCTTGCTCTTGCTCTAATCTACTCTACTCTACTCTACTCTACTCTACTCTACTCTACTCTACTCCGCTCTACTCTACTCTACTCTACCCTACCCTACTTTACTCCTTTTCAACTGCTCTACTCTACTCTGCTCTGCTCTCCTCTCCTCTATTCGATTACTCCCTAATGTATTATACCCTTTTCGACCCGACCCGACTCTAATTCATTATATTATCTTCCACCTTGCTCTTACTCTGCTCTACTCTACCTTACTCTGCTGTATTCAGCTCTGCTATGCTCTACTCTCTTTCTGCTCTACTCTGCCCATCTCCCTAACATACTCTACTCTATACCACTTTGCTCTCTTACTCTAGTCTACTCCACCCCTTCTCTGCTGCACTCTATCTACTCTACTCTCCTCCACTCTACTATATTCTAGTCTGCCCTACTGCTCCACTCTACCCTACAACGCCCTGACATACTCTGCCCTGCTCTAGTTTACTTCTACTCTACTCTGCTCTACCCTACTCGGCTCTACTCTACTTTGCTCCTGCTCCGCTCTACTCGGGCCTGCACTGTTTCTGTGCTACTCTACCCACCTACTCTTCTCTACTCGACTCTGCTCGAATCTCAAAACATCTACACCGCCTACTCTTTTTCACTATACTCTACCCTGCTCTGATCTACCCGACCCTAACCCACCCTACTCTACTCGCCTCTACTTTACCCTCTACAATACTCCTATTACCCGCTACCGTGCCGCTGTGCACGGAGTGGGCGTGTCTTCAGGTCCACTGCCCAATCCTCTAAACCTCAGTCCTCACTGCTGAGGAGTTTTTACAGGGCCCGAAGCCCATATTGCCAAATCTTCTTGGGCTTCTCGCGTGCTCTCTGGGCCTTGGGTCGTCTTGTCGCGTGACTTTTCCGGGCACAAGAGGGCACTAAGAGGCCCCAAAAACGGTCCAGGAGGGCCCCGAGTCGCTGAACGACCCCAGACGACCCAAGAGGGCTACAAGACGCCGCACGAGGCCTCCAAGAGGCCTCCCACGAGGGCTCCCGAGAGGCCCAAATTATGGATTATCCAAATGGCTTTTTGGCAGTTTCTGGTGCTCGGCCCCAAGGGGGGCCACACGGGGGAACCGAGCGGACATTTCGGGTCCTCGGCCCCGATGGGGCCCCCAGGAGGCCCCCCCCCAAATCCCCTAAGAGACGAGGGGGGATGGGCTGGTCCAGCGTCCTGTGCTCTCGCTCCTGGCCTGCGCCGGTGGAGAACACGAATCGGGTAAAAGGTGCTGTGTGCAGTTGTACAACTGGAGCGCATTCCGACGGTCACCCCTCCTCCCAAGGGGGCCCCCAAAGAGGCCTCGAGGGGCCCACGAGAGGCCCCCAAGATAACCCCCAAGGAGGCATCCAGGAGGCCCGAGAACTGCCCCCAAGAGGCCACCGAGAGCGCTCCGAAGAGACTCTCAAAAGCATCCCTGAGAACTCTGACTCCGCAAACCACGCACGGAGGCGGAATAGGCCGAAGGCCACTAGTTACTCTGCTCTGCGCCTGCTCTACTCTGCGCGTCGTCGTCGTCGTCGGCGGCGGCGGCGGCGGTGGAGGCGGCGGCGGCGGCGGCGGCGCCAGCGTCGGCGTCGGCGTCGGCGTCGGCGTCGGAGTCGGCGTCGGAGTCGTCGTTGGAGTCGGCCTTTGGTGTCGTCGTCATCGTTGCTGTCGTTGTTGTTGGCGTGCGTCGTGCGTCGTGCGTCGTCGCCGTCGTCGTCATCGTCGTTGCAGGGGGAAGGGAGGTGGTTCTGGACCCCCCCTCCAATAACTTTCCCTGGGGGGAGGGGGTTCTGGACCCCCCCCAATATTTTTCCCAGGGGGGGGGGTCCGGACCCCTCGCTAATTTTCCTTGGGGGGGAGGGTGGGGGTGGACCTCCCCACCAATTTTCCAGGGGGGGACTTCCCAGGGGTGGGGGTGTGGGGGGGTATGGCGTCTCGGACCCCGCCCACTGTGTTTTTGCGGGAAGGGGGGTGAAACATCACCTCCGCCAGGAGGGGCAGAAAACGTTCCTTCACACGTGCAATACGGCACACCATTACAATGCAGAGCACACCATACGGCCTGGCTCTACACGTGCACGGCCCCGCTTCTTACAGGTACGCGCGGACCTCGCGTCCGCGAGTATGGAGTATTCCGGAAACCAATGCTTCAGACCCAGACTGGGCAATGCGCCCCTGGCACAGGCCATGAAACCTGCAGGCTCAGAAATGGAGAGCAGCTGAGAATGGATGGGAGGAGGAGGAGGAGGAGGAGGAGGAGGAGGACATGGGGAGGGAGGAGGAGGGGGATAAGGATGATGATGATGAGGAGGAGGAGAAGGAGGGGGAGGAGTAAGAGGAGGACGAGGGCGAGGAGGAGGAGGAGGAGGAAGACCACTGCAAACCCAAGAGTCATCAACGATGTCGGAATCAACCCTTCCTCAAGCTCCCTCTCCATAGGCCCCTACAGCAGTTCATTTCCATTGATGGAACTGCCTCTTTGGAAGACAACCGTTTGAACACCCTGAAACATGCCAAATCATTGTTCTCGGGATTCCAACGCCACGGATCAACCTGACTGTTGCGTCTTGACAATCCTGAATCGTGCCAAAACACAATTCCCGGGACTTCAACACAACGAACCAACATAACTGTTGCACCCGCATAATCCTGAATCCTTTATGGGAATCTCGGAATTCCTTGCAACATTTAAAACGAATGTGTGCCGCGCTAACGCGAAAACCACATTTTGAAACCAACCCGCCCTCAATCCGTGAAGCTCTTGCAAATCTTTAAAACGAATGTACGCCGCGCTGGCGAGAACCACATTTCGAAAACGACCCGCCCTCAATCCGTGAAGCTCTTGCAATTTTTACAACGAATGTGCGCAACGCTAAAGCGAACACCACATTTTGAAGTCTCAATCCGTGAAGCTCTTGCACATTTTTAAGACTTGTGTGCGCAACGCTGAAGCGAGAACCACAATTTGAAAACGAGCCACCCTCAATCCGTGCAGTTCTTGCAATTTTTAAAAGAATGTGCGCGGTGCCAAGGCGATACCAGCATTTTGAAAACGACCCGCTCTCAATCCGAGAAGCTGTTGTCACTGCTTAAGCTTCAAAGTCATTAATGGTGAGGACGTCTCAGGCGAAACGCCTGGCCCGCTCGAAAAGCTGGCCTCGGGGTGCGACAAGGAGAAATTGTTCCTAAGGAAAACGAGCGGAGGAAGAGGAAGATTAGGAGGAGAAGAAGGAGGAGGAGGGCCAGGAGGGCGAGGAGGAGGCGGCGGCGGAGGAGGAGGAGGAGGAAGAGGAGGAAATGGAGGAGCAGGAGGAGGAGGAGGAGGGGGATGATGATGATGATGCTGATGCTGATGATGATGCTGATGATGATGATGATGCTGCTGATGCTGATGCTGATGCTGATGCTGATGCCGCTGCTGCTGCTGCTGATGAATGATGATGATGATGATGATGATGATGATGATGATGATGATGATGATGATGATGATGATGATGATGATGATGATGATGATGATAATGATGATGATGATGATGATGATGAGGGCCAGGAGGGGGAGGAGGAGGAGGAGGAGGAGGAGGAGGAGGAGGAGGAGGAGGAGGAGGAGGAGGAGGAATGGAGGAGCAGGAGGAGGAGGGGGAGGGAGGAGGAGGAGGAGGAGGAGGAGGAGGAGGAGGAAGAGGAGGAGAGGAGGAGCAGGAGGAGCAGGAGGAGGAGGAGGAGGAGGAGAAGGCGGAGGAGGAGGAGGAGGAGGAGGAGGGGAAGGAGGAGAAGGGGGAGGAGAGTAGCCCGCAGCGCCCAGTGCGTCTTCTCGGCGTAGCCTCTCAGCGTCCACTGGCCCCTGGGAGCTCCGACGCGGGCGGCCCCCTGCGCCCCCTCGCCCGCTCGTGCCGCGGAGGCCTGCGGGGCGGCGTCGCCCACGGTGGGAGAAGCGGGGGCTGAGACGAAGCCCGGACGAGGATAACATCGGGCGAGAGGTACATCGAAGATCTCTGAGATCCGGCGGCTCGGGAGGACGTCTCGGGTGCCGCGGCCTTCCCAGAGCGTTCCGGAACGCTCTGGGACGACGTTATCCTCGTCCGAAGGGCCGTCATCTCGGGCCCCGCTTGCCGCCGGAGTAGAAGAAGAAGAAGAAGGATAATAATAATAAGAAAAAGAAGAATAAGAATAATAATAATAATAAGAACAATAAAACGCCATAAAAATAAACTTGTGGCGCTCCGCGCGGATTTCTTGGATCTGCGCTTACCCCGGAGCGCGCTAGGGGCTGCGCCGGAGGCGCCGCCAGGGGGGTCCCAGCGCGGATCCAGGACAGGAACTCCGCGCGGAGCGCCGCAAGTTTCTGTTTATGGCGTTTTCTTCTTCGACGGAGAGCGCAGCGTGATGATCCCTGCGCCCCCGCCGAGAGGCCCGCCGCACCGTCGCGCCGAGGCGGGAGCTCCTGGCCGGGAGGCGGGAGCACCCCCGCGGCAGGATCTGCGTGCGGGGCACGCGGAGGCCACGCGTTGGCATCTGGCGTGTGGCAGTTTGAAGTCGAGCGCCCCGGATGGCACTTCGAAGGCGCTGCGAGAGCAGACGCTGCCGGGGGCCACCGCGATGAGGTCTGGCACTGCCGGGCTGCATCGCGATGACGTCCGACCAGGCCCGGCGTCATGGCCGAAACCGGCCCCATCCGAGAGCCTGGAATATGTTTGAATACCTTTGGATATTTCACGTGTGCCCGAAGGGCAGCCTTACCCGGCCGCGCGAGTCTGGGAAACGACGCGGGCACACGTGAGCGACGATCAAAAACGGGTCTTGCGCGAGATGACGTAGCGACCTTACGCGGTTGCATACGCGGGCCGCCCGCGCGGCACGCCACAATGGAGACGAGGGCGCTTACGCGCGACCTTACGCGAGCAGCTTACGCGCCAATGCCGGCGCAGACGACCCCGTTTTTCTGTGTCGCTCACCTGCACAATGAGACCCTCCGCTGGCCCAAACACCCCCAAACCCTAGGATCATTCGAGGGTACCCTCTCCCAGGATGCACGACTATCTAACACACACACAAAGAACGTTAGGATACCCTCCCCGAAACGACCTCGATCTTATACCTCGGTCCGACTGTACCGTACCCACCTCGTGCCCAAGCTGGCCGAGTCATGCGCATCTGGCTTCTTATTACATGGTGGCCCCCAGTTTCCCAAACGCCGCACTCCAGAGCACACCGCCGTGCATGAGCGATCATCCGCACTCCACGGGCGAGAGTCTCACCTGCGGTGCAGGAGCAGTGCCTTCCAAGTCCGGGAGAGGCACAGGAGCATCAGCACACCCTGTAGCTGGCTCGGCCACAGACTCTCGACCAGCCGAGCAGAGGACCCGAACTCCGATGGGGGCGCGTGGGTGGCGGCGCGAGGGGCCAGCAGATTTTTTGGGCGCGAGGGGCCAACAAATGCGAAGCGTGCAGGCAGAGGGTCGAGGGATGCACCAGCCCAGCTTCCGCTTCTCCGCCCTCTGTGCTCCTGCTCTGCCCCCCTTGATGGGTGCAGCTCTGGGGCCGGGAGGTGCAGATCCAGGACCGACAGATGCAGTGACCGAGCCTAGCCACGATGTCCAGGTTCAGAACTGGGAAGTTCTAGCTCGTGGCTCCCGGGCTGCATAGCAACCCCAAGGCCTAAATATGACGTGTGCAGGACACACACGCACATAATGAATATGCAGGATGGGATTTTGCAACTCTCAATTCCGATCATCAACATGTATTTACTTTTGACACCAACAAACGTCACAACTCTGACACAGGAGGCTGCAAGTGTGAGCACCGCAGAACGCACGACTCCAGCACCGAAGGATTCAGGCAACACGCTGCTCGGCTGCCGAGCGAGGACGGGAAAACCGATGCTCGCCCCGCTAGGATTAGCCTCGAGAAAAGGCAGCGCCTTGAACGGCTTGTTCATGACCTGGATCTCGCGCCAGCACTTCTTCTCCTGCACCTGGTAGCAGCCGTCCAGGAACACGTCGTTGCAGACGAGCTGCTGCTGCTGAGCCGCGGAAGGGGGAGACCGGCACAGTGCGAGCGGGCGGCGAAGCTCGGCCCGTGCCTGCGGGACCAACGAGACAATTCGGCGGCGAGCCCGGGGGGGAAGCGAGAAGCGGCGGGCCTTCTCAGAAGGCTCGGAACTCAACCGGCCAGCCGAGAAGCTTTCGAAGCCTTCCGCGAAGACACACACACACACAAAAAAAAAAAAAAGCTCTCGGGCGGCCGGAGAGCTCCTCTGCGAAGCGCCGCCGTCTTCCGAGGAGGCCGCCGAGGGCCTTCTCCTCCCCGCTTCCCCCCCCCTCGCTCGCCGAAGCCTGGGGGGGGGGCTCGCCGCCGTGGGCCTGCCGCCCAGGAGAGGCCCCAGGCCTCCAGGCGTCGTGGCACGGCCGCGGCGGGCCGCTCTGGGCCGGGAGGCCGTCGAGGAGCCGTCCGGGGCGGCAAGAGCTCGCCTCCACCGGCGCACCTCGCGAACAAGGCGCGACGCCGAGCTCTGGTGACGCTTCCTCGGCCACGCTGTCGATCAGGGCTGGACCTAACCGTTGCTTTTCCTCTGGTTGTTGTTCTGTTTGGTTCGTTTTGCTCGACCTGGTTTCCTGTACCTCCCTCCCCAAACAAGAAAAAAACAAGATACAGCCGAGGTCCAGCAGAACAGCGTTTGGGTCCAGCCCTGCTGTCGATTTGGCCTTCGAGCGAGCCTCAGCCCTGACACGAGGAGCCACTTGGGACTCCGGCGCCGCCTTTCTGCGAAGGTGGGCGGCGTTATGTCGGGGCGGCGGCGGGGCAACATGGCCGCCAGACCGACAGACAGGCCCAGGTACGGACGGCGACGCGGCGGCGACGGGGGGGCGCAGGCGGCAACATAGCCGCCAGACCGACAGACAGGCCCGAGTACGGGCGTCGACGAGGCGGCGACGGGGCGGCGACGGCGGCGGCATGGCAGCTGGACCGACAGGCAGGCCCAGTTCCTCAGCAGCGCGCGAGAGCCCTCGAGTGCAAACGCCATTCAGGGAGCACCAGGGTGCAAGACCAGAACGATGTTGTGCAGTCTGGGCGGCGCAGCCCGCGTGCCGTCCACGTGCTGCAGCCTACGCAGTTTAGGGAACACTGGGGTGCAAGCCCAGAACGATGTTGTGCCGTCTGGGCGGCGCAGCCCGCGTGCCGTCCGCGTGCTGCAGCCTTATGTTTGCCGCAAGCCCGGGAGCCGCAGCCAGCGCAAGGAGCGCCCACGGGGCGGCCCCGGGCGGCGTCGGCGCGGAAGCCCGGACGCCTCCCCGCCGACGCACGAAGCGCCCACGGGCGGCGACGGAGCGGAAGCCAGAGCTCCGAGCCGCACGCATCCGGCGCCCACGCCTGCGCAGCCTCAGCCGGAACCGCTCGCACCACCAGAAACCTCTGCTGCTGTCACCACCACAGCCAGCACCACACCCGCACCGTCACCGAGCGTTCCACTACCACTTCCACTGCCACAGCCGCTGCCACTGTCACTCGGGATCTCGCTCGCGCTGCCACTCTCGCTCCCGCTCCCATTCCAGCTACCTCTGCCACTCCCGCTTCCAAACCACAAATACAACTACATGACGACCACCACCACTACGACTACCACTTCCACTACCACTACCCACCCTGCCGCCACTACCACTGCCACTGGCATTCTCACTGCAACTGCCTGTGGTACTATTCCACTACTAACACCTCCACTGCCGCTTTTTTATTACTGCCACTACCTCTTCTGAAACAGCTGCCATTCCCACTAACACTATTTCTCTTCCTGCCACTCGCATTGCCACTGCCAGTGGCACTACCAGTGCCATTGTGTACGAGCGAAACTGCTAGCAGCTACTGCTGTCGAGTTGCATTATGCTGCTATCTCAACACACCGAGAACCGCACAATGTTACTGCTACTTTGTGCTGATTGTAGCACTTACTTATCCTGGACTGCTTGGCGTGGATTATACCGCTGCATCTGTATTGTCCGCTGCTGCTGCACATCATGCATCGCGGATAAAACTCCCCACTACCTGCTGGCTCTAAGCAATGCCACCAGGCTTGGGTGTGCGACTCACTAAGAACAACGCGAATAAGCCGACGACTGGTATATTTTACACATGATGCGCGCACGTGGGCCGCCTGGGAAGAGGACAGCCCAGCCTACAAGCTATAGCACATGGGCTTGTGATTGCGAGTGTGGCGAATTTGATAATTGTCGCAGGCGTGCCACATGCACAGCAATGTATGTTGGGTTGTCTTGTAGGCTTCTGCAGCATTCTAGGGGCGAGCTCTCCCCCAATCGTACGTATCAATGTCGGAAAAGACGCGTTCGCACATGATGTTACCCTCCACAAGGCGGCACCACTACCTTCCAAGACTGTCTTTACACGGCTGCGCGATACCGCACACAATTGGCCAGAGGCGGCACGAAGACTGCCATAGTAGAAGACATGTCAGTAAAGACACTGATAATGGGAATGCCAAGTGGAAGGACAGACAACACGCATGTTATTTGTCGGGCCGCCTCGGCAAGGAACACTGCTCGGAATGGCGTGCCTGTTCTGACATGGGAGAAGGCAACAACATCGACAAGACCCGATGAAGCCTCCTTCAGAGTCTGCGCCGTGATAGCATCCTGCGCCTGAAACGCCAAGTACTCTTCGCAACTCGGCTGTGCCTCGGTGGCTTGAGAAACGGCATGTCCACGGCTTCCGTCAGCATAGCGGCCGATGCCCATCCCCTTCCCGACAAATCCGAATAACGAGAACTGGAAACCGCGACATCCGAATCTTAAACTCCCTCTTGTAGGCAATGGGCTCTAGACTCTAGACCTTACGCAACCAAACACCCCTCTTGATGTAGCTCAGGAGCCGTGTCTATTCACTGGAAGACGCGACGCACCGCTAAACAAGTGACTATTTGTCCACCTAAACCCTACGGCGCGTGCATACAGGTTCAGACCTTCCCGACGGAAGCTAGAACGGATGACCTGCTGCGTTGAGCTACGCAAGCGCTTTCTTATTCGGCGTTTATTGGGCGGCAGGGGGGGCAGGTCTGGCTCCAGACCTCTGCTTGGTGCGACTGTTTGAAACAGTGCTTCCTATCGGGGAGACTCCACCTGCTCGAATCTACTACCAGGGGGGAGGGGGAGGGGGGGCGAGGGCTCGCGCCGATCGGCAAAACAATGAATCAGAGAACGATCGCTATCCTACGTCCTATGTTTCATCGGCACTCCTGCGCGCCACCTCGGACGACGCCGAGGCCGGATGGGGCAAGTCTGGTAAGAGCCGAGGGGCTCCATCGGGTGGGTCTCCAACTGGACTTGGCCTCCTCTTGGGCGACGCGAAGTCCAGCTGGGGCCAATCCGATAGGAGCCGAGAGGACAATCCGGTGGAGCTCCAACTGGACTCCGCCTCTCCCGAGCTCTCCCGACCGACTCCCCCCAGTCTGGGCCCGGCCCAGGTGGCGAGAACGCCCCCACCAGTTAGCCCATCCGGGCAGAGCGGGCGAGCGCACGGAGCGAGCGCGGGGGGCGCCCAGATGCGGCCAGGAGCACTCCCCGACATCCGACGCCCCGATTTTTTTCGAGACGCGGGCCCCCGACCTCCCCCGACCACTTCCCCAGGACCAAGTTTCCATCCCGAGCCGTTTTTTGACGGGCCTCGAGGCCCGCGGAAGGCCCCGAGAGGCCACGAAACCTGCGAAACGCCTCCGTCCCGCCCTTGTCCGAGACGCCCGATGCTTGGCTTCAGAGGCTCGTCCCCCGCGCCGCGCGAGGAGCGTGGCCCGCCTCGCGCCCCCCCCCCGCGGTGGACCGACGCCCTCCCGAGACGCGGGGCCGCCGCGGCCCGTGCCGGGCCGCGCGGCGGCCGAGAGGCCGGCGGGCGCGCGCAGGCCCCGTGCTCCCCTCCCTGCAGGGGGGGGCGTCTCTCCCGGAGGGGGCCTCGCAGGCCCTGGCCCGGGGGCACGTGCGCGGCGGCCCGGGTGGGGCCTCGAGGCCGCCCCGAGGCCCCACCGAGGGGGGGGGGCCGCGGAGTCCGGGGAGAGGCCGGGGCCCCGGCCGCGACCTCGCGCCCCGTGGCCATCCACTGCGGCGCGGGCGCGGCCGCGAGAAACCCTCGGCAAGAGACCCAGCACCCTGAGCGCAGCAGCTCCTGCAACGGCTGCGGGGAGTCACCGCGCAGCGCGAGGAGCGAAGACGCCCAGGCTCCCCTGACGAAAAGCACATGGCTTCTTGATGTGCGCCCCCTACGGCCCCCCCCCTCCTAGGCCGCCCCCGAGCGATGCCCTCGCGGTCGCGGTGCCTCGCCCGAGCCCTCCGCCCGACGAGCTGGGCAGAGCTGCGCCCGAAGCGGTGCCTGGTCCCGCCCCCCCAAAGATGGGCCGAGAGGCCCCCGCTGGCCTCCCAGGGCGGCCCCCACGACGGCTCCAGGACGGCCCGAGACTCCCTGAACACGGGCCCAAGACCTCGGCCTTCCAGGCGGCCCACGGATCTTCTGTCACGCCCCCCCCCCCCCCCACGCACCCCAGAGGCCGTCGAGGCAAAACCGCGAGAGGCCCCGAGATGGGCCGGGAGGCCCCGGCTGGTCTCCAGGGCGGCCCCCAGGCGGCTCCGAGACGGCCCGAGTCTCCGTGAAGACGGGCCCAAGACCTCGACCTTCCAGGCGACCCCCTTCCTCCGACCCACCCCTCCTACGCCCCCCTCCGCCGTCGGGGATCTTCTGACCCGGGTCGATCCAGACCCAGGCCAGTCAGGCATTGCAGAATCCTGCAAGATTCTGTAAGATCCTGCACCCAAACGCGGGTCAAAGCGAAAGAACCTGCAAGATCCTGCAGGATCCTGCACCCAAGCCCGGGTCAATGCGAACCTGGCCCTGCAGGATCCTGCAAGATCTGGCGCTCTGGCTGACCCCCGTTTGCATTGACCCCCGTCTCAAGGCTCCCGACGCCGACCCTCCTCCTCTGACCCGGATCCTTTTTCCTTCAGCGGGCAGAGTGCACCCCTCCTCCCTCCTCCCTTCTCGGAGCGAACGTGGAGCGGGCTCCAGGAGCAAGCCTGCAGTAGCGCTCGCTCCTCCCCTCCCCTCCTCCACCCTTCTCCCCCCAGGGGCCGTCAGGGCAAGACCACGCGAGTTCCCAAGACAAGCGCAAAATGTTCGGCCACGAGCGCCTCGAGGCCCCCCACCCCCCGCACGCTGGCGGATCCGTAGATCCACGGGCGCAGTCTCCTCTGGGGGCTGCGTCTTTCGCGAGCGCATCCTCCTCTGCGGGCGTGTTCTTGTCCGGGCGTATTCGCCTCTGCGGGCGTATTCTACTCTGCGGGCGTATTCTCTTCTGCGGGCGTATTCTCCTCTGCGGGCGTATTCGCCTCTGCGGGCGTTTCCGCAGGCGTATTCTCCTCCGGAGGCAACGTATTCGTATATTCGCGGGCGTATTCTCCTCTGTTGGCGCATTCGCGGGCGATTTGTTTTCTCAGGGTTTACGACCTATTCCATGAGATTCTGGCCAATCCTTCCCTTCTCCGCCTCCCGCAAAGAATCTGCCAGGTGAATCTTTCAAGCTCCTCATGCCCTCCCGTCCGCGCAGCCTAGCACAAACGACAGCCGCTGACCTTCTTGGATTGGGGTCGGCGTGTCGTACTACCAGAATTGCTGTCGCTACTACTCGCAGTTCTGATGTTGCGAATGCTGTGTTGCTACTAGTTCTGACGCTAAGACTACGAACGAAACGACAGCGAATACAATTGCGAAACGTGACGTTGCATTGGCGATTATCACTATTACGACCACTGCGAATACGAATAGGAATGCGACTGCGATTGTGAAAACTGAAACCAGATACTGCTTCTAATGAAACCACTAAAACTAACGATCCTTCTCCGATGCGAGGCCACAGGAGACAGCGGCAAGCCACGGGAGACCAAGGGATACCAAAACGCCCGCCCGATTTGAGATCCGGCAATCCCCGCACTCGGTCTCTTAGAGGACCAAAGCAAGACGCTTACAAACAAGCTGTGTTGGGAATCTTTGTTATGTTTGCCTTCTTCCTTCTCCTTTCCATAAATAATCATCCTTCTCTTCTTGCTCCTCCTCCTCCTCCTTCTCCTCCTCTTGATCCTCCCGCCGATTTCTCATCCGTCCTCCTTCTCCTCATTCGATAGGGCCGCGAAGACACATGTGGTTCGCTGCTGGGTCGCTCAGGCTGATCCAGAACTTCGGTTTGACGGCTGCCCCTCTTTTTTTCCCCCTGCATGCTCCTAAACTTCCCTGTCAATGCGGTTCGCCTGGACATCGCTGCTGTATGGGCTGGTGGGCACACCTTTTTTGATTGCGAGTGGCGCGGAATCAGCCGGCCGCGCACCGTCAAGAAAAGTCGATCGAAACGCTAAGCCGCGCAAGTGCAAAACAGCGAACATAAAGGGACGGGCCACAACGCAGACAACGCGAGATGGACGGAAACATAACGAAACGAACAAGAGCGAGGAGGAAGAAAACAAAACAGAAAGACTGAAGGCAAGCCGCAGCACAAACTCAGACCAAGAAGTAGACCACCGCCCCTTGTCGAATTGCCAGCACTTGTAATAGAATATGGCGTACCCAAACCAAAGCGCTGAGATGGAAAGCCGCGAAAGGCGCGAGACCACAGAGTGACCACCGGCGACGAGAGGAGCGCTAGCGTCAGGACTTTCAGACAACTGTCAATCAGGTCATCTCCAGAGCCAGCGTGGTCTGACAGCAAGGACGTCACATTCCACAAACCCCGGGAGGAGCATGAGGGAGCGAGCCCGACCGAAGAAGCCGCGTGGCGGCGAGGACAGCCCAGGCCAACTGGGCGGGGAGCCGGAAACTGGCGCGGCCCGGGGCTACGGGCGCGCCGGCCAAGACGGTTGGGATGACCAGCCCTGGCCCGTCGGGCTTGCAGCCTCAGGGCGATTGCATCGCCTGAGACCAGCAGCTCACTGGGGGGTACAGCAGGCAGCCACGGAAAGCGGGAAGGAGCTCGCGATTGCACAACGTGAGAATGCCCAGTGCTCAGGAAGGGCGCAGCTAACAACCGCATGAATGTGGGGAAAAAGGTTTTCGCCTGAGACATACTGATGGCAGGCCTTGGGGCGGCAAACGGGGGGGGCGCAAAATGCCGCCCACGGCCATGCGCGGGGCGAAGAGCCACGCGATGGAACCGTATGAGAAAATCTGGTGCCCTGGTCGGGTGCAGCTAACAGCTGCAGAAAGCGGGAAAAGAAGCTTTTGCTTGAGACATACTGGAGGTCGGACTGGGAGCGGCAATTCGGGGGTAAGCCGATTGCTGTCCACGACCAAGAGCGGGGTGGAGTCGCAGCCCACCGCTGCAGGATGCTGGGTAGGAATAGTAGCATCGCCTCGGATGGTATTGACGTTCCGCTGGGTTGCAGCTAACAGCCGCAAGAAAAAGGGGAGATGGTTCCACCTGATACATCCCGTTGCTCGGCCGAAGTGCGGAGAACAACCGCAGGAGGAAGGGGGCGTAGCCACGCCTGCCGTGTACGGATTCTATGGTAGGGTGCGGCTCACAGCCGCGGAGGGCTTCGCACTGGCGACGTAAGAGGCTGCCCGGTGCTTTGGTAGGGTGCAGCTAACAGCCGTAGGAATGTGGGAAAAAACAATTCTCGCCTAAGGCATGCTGGTGATCTGCCTGAGCGGCAAGCGGGGGGGTGGGCGAGTGTTGTCCCGAAGCACTGGAGCCAAGGCGGCAGGAGGAGGCAGCACGACGGTGCCGCACCCGAAGTCGTGCTGCTCGACGTCGCACGCTGTCGTATTGGAGCTCGCCATGGTAGGGGCCGTGGACCTTGCACTGTACGATACGGTACTGGGCCTGAGACCTGCGGCTGACTGGGGGGTTGCAGCTAACAGCCGCGGGACCGCATGAGAATGCCTAGTGCTCTGGTAGGGTGCAGCTAACAGCCGCAGGAATCTGGGAAATGATGTTTCCGCCTGAAACATACTGGTGTTCGGCGTGAGATCGGCAAACGGAGGGTTAGCCGAGTGCCATCCACTGCCAAGAGCAGGGTGAAGACACACGCGATTGCCCCGCGTGAGAATGCCGGGCGTGCTGGTAGGGTGCAGCTAACAGCCGCAGAGAGGTGGGATGAGGTGCTACCGCCTGAGACATACTGGAGGTCGGACAGGGACCGGCAATCTGGGGGGTAGCCGATTGCCGTCCACGACCGAGAGCAGGGTGGGGTGGCAGCAAACACCTGCAAACAGGACGCTTACAGCCAAGCTGTTTTGGGAATCTTTGTTCTGTTCGCCTTCATCCTTCTCCTCCTCATAAATAATCCTCCTCCTCTTCTTGCTCCTCCTCCTCTTCCTTCTCCTCCTCTTGGTCCTCCCGCCGTTTCCTCATCGGTCCTCCTTCTCCTCGTTCGATAGGGCCGCGGAGGCATATGTGGTTCACTGCTGGGTCGCTCAGACTGATCCAGAACTTCGGTTTGACGGCTGTCCCTCTCTTTTTGCCCCCTGCATGCTCCTAAGCTTCACTGTCAGTGCGGTTCGCCTGGACATCGTTGCTGTATGGGCTGATGGGCACACGCGCAGCGTCTAGAATTGGTCTCTGGACACCTCACGGGGTCCATCCAGACACATATTTCGAATCGTATCCAGCCGCGGCAGCGAGAACTTCCAGACACGCCCGCAAACCTACGAAGCGACGACGCCGACCGACATTTGTGCCCGAGCCCGTGTCCATAGACTGGTAATCTTCTGTCTCTGGTCGTGCCGGTCCATAGATTGCCATGCATCGCGATCGCCACCGCTTCACTCGATGACGACTCGAACATCGTCCCGCGATAGTCCTGACGCCCGAAGGTGCATCTCGCGGCCCACGTCCCATCCAAGTCTTCCGATCATCGTATTATGTGCGATCTGTCAACCTCTGGCGGCAATGTCAATCCGTCACCGAGCCAGCGGCACGCTGGGGCGTGCTCGATTCTCCGAGCAGTGCTTGCACTTGAAGGACTCTTGCTTGGTGTTCCTTCTGGGGAGTAGGCTGGGCCTGCTGGGCTTTCGGCTGGTGCGCTGTGTGGGTGGGCGCCTCGTGCCGCTGGGTGAGATTTTGCCGAAGTCTTTCGCCAGGTGCCCGCCCTGTGAGCGCTTCGTGTGCGCCTCGTGTGCGCCTCGTGTGCGCCTCGTGCGCTGGGCGGGTGTGCCGAATTCTCGCTGGGTGCCCGCCCCATGGGCGCCTCGCGGGCACCTGGTGAGGTTTCGCCTGGTGCTCACCCGTGGGCGCCTCACGGGCGCCTGCTGCGCTGTGTGGGTGCGTTGAGGTTTCGCCTGGTGACCGCCCGTGGGCGCCTCACAGGCGCCTGCTGCGCTGTGTGGGTGCGTCGAGGTTTCGCCTGGTGACCGCCATGGGCGCCTCGTGGGCGCCTTGTGCGCTGTGCGCTGGACCTCCTGGTGCCCGCCAAGTGGCGATTCTTGGGCGCCCCGCGAGCTGGGTGGATGTGCCGAAGCTTCGCCTGGCGCCCGCCTGCCCGTGGGCGCCTCGTGGATGCCTCGTGCGCTGGGCGGCCGCATGGGTTGTACGACATAGCCTTTGACCACATATCTTGCACCACACACCTCATACCACATAGCTCGTGTCACACAACCTGCGCCGCACATCTATTGAACCGCGAAGCCTACACCACATGACGTCACGCACGTATCTTGCACCGCGCCGCTCGCACTACATAGCATACATAACATGGCTTATACCACATAGCTTGGACCATGTAGCTTGCACAACATATGTTGCACCGCGTAGCTTCCACCCCATAACTTGCACATCCGCGGTACAACAACTTCTACTGTTTGGGGTCCACGGTTGCAACGACATGTGCTAGTCTGTTGTCCAATATGGTTTCTGCGCGGCGTTGTTAAAGCCGGCCCCCTCTGACTAGCGCGTGCGTTCCGAACATCGCCCATATATCTTTGCTCTCCAGAGCCCTCTTGGGTCTCCAGGCTGCTCCAACACAACCAACGATGGTCTCACCACGGCTGCAAGACGCGGCAGCATGATCATGCAAAGACAAGCCATCAACAACCCAACAACTCCAACATTTCCTTAAGACGCTCCGGTAGGCTAGCTGGCAGAAAACTCACAAAGAGGACTCCAGCGAGGCCCTAACGGGCGAACAACATCGAAGCACCTAAGACAACAATTTGTTTTTGCCTCCGTGGATTTTCGTTTCCATATCGTCTCGGGAAGGCCTCAGAGAACGCCCACAAACACCCAACACGGCCCCAAGAGCGCCCCAAGACAGCCCGAAGCGCGCACTTTTCGGCATACCGTTCAGAGACGACCCAACGAGCCTTCAAAAGCTCCAGGATCCCCCGAAGATGCTCCAAGAGACTCCGATAAGCCTCCAAGAGATGCCCGAAGAGGCTGCCAGCGAGGGAGACGAGGAGAACGGCCTAGAACAATCCAATGGGAATCTCCACGTTTTCCTGCTGGAGCTTTTCGGCTTCAAGCCGCCTCGAGAGGGCCTCTGCGCGCCCAGAAACAGCTAAGACGGCGCCAGGAGCGCCCCAAAGACAGCCTGAAGGGGGCACTGTGCGGTCTTCACACGGCTTCCAAGCTGCCAGCGCCAGCTCTAAAACGGCCGCATTAGGCCCTGAGACCATCAACATACAGCCCAGCGAGCCCCGACAGGTAAGTTCCAAGATCCGCCCAAGATGCCTCACGAAGCCTCTAAGAGACGCCCGAGGAGGCTTCCAGCGAGGCCCCATAATCGAAACACGTCAAACATTGAGAAGGGAACCGCTGTGTTTGCTTCCCGGTCTCCTCGGCCATCAGATCAAAAGGGAAATTTCATAGAGCCCTAAGAAGCCGCCAATAAAGCCCCAAGGGTGCCACAAGGCAGTCCCAGTACTGCTCGAGTGCCTAGCACACTAGCCCAGGAGGGCCCAAGAGCTGCCCAGACTTCCCTAACATGGCTCAATCAAGCCTCTTCGGGACAGCTCTGTCGAAGCATCGTGCCCAAGACGCCCCCGAGACCCCAGACGGATCCCCAAGAGGCCCCCGATAGGGCCCAAGTGGCACTCAAGAAGCAAAGGAACGCCGCGACGAAGCGTCCAAGATGCCTTCGAGAGGGACGCAGAACACGAATAAGGGAATTAACCTGGCGCGACCCTAGGGGACTCCTTTCTTCCAGCGCAATTCAATAAGAGTTTTAAGCAATACAAAGCAATGCGATGCAAGCCATTGCTTGATATTGCTTGGCGTTGCTCTGTATTGCTTGGCATTGATTGGCATCGTTTGGTGTTGCTTGGCATTGCTTAGCGTTGCTTGTAACCGTTGCTTGGCATCGCTTGGCGTTAATTGGCTTTGGATTGCTTTGTATTGCTTAGCGTTGCTTGGACTGTGGCTTGGCATTAGTTTTCCCCTCCTCCCTCCTCCCTCCTCCCTCCTCATTTCCCCGCGGAGCACGCAAGCGGGCTGGGTTTGCTGCAGGCAGCTAGATAATGCGCCCTGGGGCACCGATGCCAAAGTTCGTCAGCTGGGCTCGAGCAGTTCGGCCCCACTGGGACCTTTCGTTCACATTGCTTGGACTGCGCAGCGGAAGGCATCTCGCGCGACAGCGTCCACTAAGGCGTAGGCTGCACACTCCGCAAGGTGCGGGATGGAGTCGCAGAAGGCCTTACCTTCAGCATAAGAGGGTACGGCCTTTGCCGACGCAGCCCACAACCCTGCCGCAAAGTAGTCAACGCGCTTCGCGTCAACGCCCTGGGGCAAATGGGGCAACCGCAAGAATCAAGTGATACCACCAAGATGTGCCGTGTGGCTCCAGTGACAACAAAGGGATGAATGCAATCATGGCCGACCAGACATACATGCTCTGCCACGGAGCGCACTTTTTGCAACTGGTCACAATCCCACGGCTGCGAAACAATGCCCAAACACTTCAATTTCGACCAACAACCATCGCCAGTTGTGCGGAAACCACCGTCGACATGACGTCCAAATTTCTAAACCCTGACGGCAGGAAGTGAGCTAGACCGAAGCAGGCCCTGCAAATGCCTGAAATATCTGCCCTGGATGGCGATGAGAGTGCGAATGGCATACAAGGCAACACAAGTTTATCTTGCAACGCATTCCTCTGTGCACATGTACGTGCCCTCGGTGCCTCGCACACGTTCCTGCAGGGCTGCCTCTGGTCGCACTCCATGAACTTGCCCTCCACCATGTACTTTGAGAACCTGGGGAGCAACGCGCATGTACAACATTAATGCGCGTTGTTGTTTGTTTCAGGTCGGGCATGTCCTCTTACAGGGGAACTTTGAACGACAAAGAAATACCCCCGAAATATTTCAAAATGGTCAAAAATTACTAGAAAAATCGTCTCCCGACTACCAATTGACTATTTCGGAATATTCCTCCTGTAGAGGGACAGCCCCCACTTAATGTTTGTTGCCCCCCCGCCCCCCCCCTCCTCCGCGGGGGCGGGACGTCGGTGCGGACGTCTTTTTCTAGGAAGTGCTGTGAGGCATCTTGGTGCTTGCTTTGATCTGCCCTGCCTTCACGTGCTCCTTCGGCTGGCCGACATGTGTTATGACTCGCGACCAGTGGCGCGTGGGTGCTGGCGGTGTGATTGGTACCCTTGTGCTTTACATAGTGTTTCATGCATGGGACCTCCCATCATTTGGCGTACAACAGATCTGTCTAACAAAAACTTGTTCCTCTGCCGGGGGCGCCTGCCTCAGGGCGGCTGGAACGTTTGTACCCCTACGGTGGCACGTCAGGGTGTAAATTTTCCAGCCGCCCCGGGGCAGGCGCCCCAGGCGGCAGAACAATTTACCTTACACAGCTCCTCGTCCGCTGAATCATGGGTGCCCCCGAGGCCTCGGGCCCAACGTGCGTTCAATGCTCGTCCATGAGGTTCGCTCCCTGCGCGCAATAACAAGACAGAGTACGCGCAGGATCAGGGCGGCGCTCTCCACGAAATGACCCCCCACCCCACGTGGCCTCCCACTTCCCCAGGCGCCCCCGCACCTCCGCGCGGTGGCGGCTTCGCGCGGCGGCGCAGTGATATTGACACTGCAAGTGCTCTTAGAGGAAAGCTGGGAAGCCAGTAGGCTCGCCCAGCACGCTATAGATACGGTGATGGCATTGGATAAGGACACCTTCGATAAGAAATTCAGGGTCTGGAAGTCAGTGGAAAGCCGATCGTGGATAAGCCATGGATATCGCCGCCGCCCTCATCAGATAAGGAACCCTCGAGGGTCTGAAACCTCCTGGGCACGTTCCTTACCGAACGCCCCCACCGTAAGCCAAATCCGCGCTCGCTGGAGGCTCGGGACGGAGAGCTGCGGAGCCTCGGAGAGCGAGCGTGTTCAAGGCCATGTGTCAGTGCACCTGCGTCCGTGGATTGCTGGGCGTAGGTGCCGGGCCGACCGATCGCCGGGCGGCGGAGCTGGGCCCTCAAGAGGTCCACGCGCTCGGGACCAGGCTGGGTCTCTCTCTCTCTCTCTCCCTCTCTCCCCCCCTCTTGTCTCGGCTCGAGGGCCCTCCCGCGGCCCGGTGCCCACCTCTGGCGCGGAGCTCACGGCGCAACTGTCCTCTCGCATGGTGAGAATGGGCACGCACCTCACATCGGGCGTGGCTGATTCGGGCCGCCTCCAAGTCCCCGCGCTCGCCGCTGCGGCTCCCGCGGGCACTTGCCGTGTGCGTCGTGTACCACTGCGGCCCAAGCCGCCAGGCAGGCGCCGCCGAGCCTTCCGCCCCGAGAGCCAATCTGGTGCGACAGGGGGCCTGCACCGCTGCTGCTCTTCACAGCGGTGGCGGCGCAGACTGGGCTGCTGCAGCCTACAACGAGCTAGTCCATAAACATCCATCCGATCTTGATGCCGTTTATAGAGGACAAAAAATCCACCCCCAGAATAACCACCCCGACAAGCGAGGCCGTTTAGTAAGCGCGCCCAGAGAACAGGGCAGGGCTGTCTAGTAAACGCCCAGGGCCGTTTAGTAAACGCCAATTATCGAGTCCGGGTGTTTTTTCTGCCCTTGAGTCTACCAGCAACGCCGCTCCAACCGGCCCTGGCTCAGGAGCGAGCTGATGAACCTGCAGGAGATTCAGATCAGCTAGACACGGCTGCATGTCGCCCTCACGCACAATCCGGGTTGCTGCCGCGATTCGCCCGGGCCCGCGGCCCCGGCCGCTGCCCGCCAGGGTGACGACGCAGCCCCTCTCCTCAGCCTGGATGATCAGATTGGGGCGCCCCCATCGCGCCCGCGCCCGCAAGGGCAGACGGTGCGACCTCGCGCGCCGGTGGCGTCCCCCGCCCCGCACACGCGCGCTCGAGGAAGGGGCCCGCCTCTCGCGACACTCTTCCACCTGCACAAGAAGCCCCCCCCCTGCCTGGGCCGCCCTCGGGCCCCAGGGCCCCAGCTTGCCCAGGGCGCGAGCGGGGGCCGCCGCCCCTCCCCCGCCCGCGCGCGACAGGAGGCCTGCGCTGCTGCTCTCCCTGGTCTTGGGGCGGGCATGCCCCCCCTAGCGGCGTATTTTGGGCGCACAAGTAAGAACACCCATTGCACAAAGGCCAGAACATAGCAAACCATGCTCAAGCAATCGCCCCGAGATTAATTACTTGTGGTCTATGTCTGGGCACTCCTCCTGGTGGCGGCGGCCAGGGTGGAGGCCCCGGCCGTGGCCCGCGAGGGACCGCGGCCCCGTGTCGACGCCACCCGGGGGCACCGACGCTGCTCCCCTCACCTGCCCGGGTGCTTCGGACTTGTCACTGCACCATCCCTTGCAGACGTGCTGCAGCGGAGTTCTGCGTGGATTTTTGCCCGAAGCGGCGAGCGAAAAACGAAGTGACTTTCGCGTGGGTTCTCGTTGGTCTTGATTCCAGGCCAACAAAGAATCTGCACGAGATTCACCTCGAAATCCGGAACGAAATTCCCCAGGACACCCCGGGCCCACCCTATCGTTTTCCGAACGAAATCCGCTCTGCGATGTTGGCGCCATGAGACTTGGATGTGCCCATCTCCCTGGGGCCCGTTAGGGCCGAAGCCCGAACCTCTAGTGCCAGTGGCGCCATCGCCGTGTCCTCCGTCGCCACGTCAGTGCCTGCGCAGTGCCAGCGCCAGGGCTACGAGGGCCAGGTGTCCAGTGAGCTCTGCGCCCTCATCCAATGCTCCCCTTTCGGCCACGTCGAACGTGACATGCTCATGGGCATCTGCGAGGGGCACGCCCAAGGACGTGTTCAGCGGGTGCGAGCTTGGGCAAGTCTGGGATGCATTCGGGCCAGACCGTATGACAACGCGGGATCTGTGCGACCTCATCGTCGCGGAAGGCCCCCGCCCCGCCCTAGACGATGCTCCCCGAGACCACGATCGGAGGCAGGCTGCCCAGGTCGCCTGCGCGGAGGAGGCCTACCAGACGCGAGCCCTGCTCGCCAACGGCGCCACGCACGACGCGTGCACGTGCGACCTCGACGCCGTCTGCGGCCTCGGCGCCACCCCCGCAGCTGGCGTCGGCGTCTCCCAAGGACAACTCCTCGGAGGCCTCGCCCGTCGATGCCGCGGCCCGGGCGCACTCCGCCCACCCTCTGGTCGTGCAAGAGCGCGCCAGGGCCAGCGCGCCGACCGAGGATCCTTGGCACGCCGTCGTGATCTTCCAGGCAGCGGCGACTGCGGTGAGCGCCCGCCACCAGGCCAGCACCCTGGATACTGGCGCTTACTGGTCTCCGTGACAGCACTCGTGCGAGCTGATGCCTCGGCTGACGAGTGCGGCCCCCTGGGACGAGGTGGACCTGCCGAGCAGCGTGCCAGGTGGCTCGGCGGCGCGGTCGGCCGCCCTCAGGGCCGAGCCTGGGCCCGCCAGGGCCGACGCGCTGCCCGACGTCACGGGCCTCGGGCCTTCACCCGCGCCTCCGCGCATCCTGGAAGGTACCGAGGTGACTGCCACTAACCAGGCTACGAACTCCATGGACGGCCTCCGCGGCGCGGCCAGCGTCCGCGCGGGAGATCGGCACCAAGGCTGGGTGGTCCTGCCGACCCCTGGCAGCGGTGCCTGACCTGCCCGCGTTTCGCCCGGCGGCTCGCTCCCCTGGGGAGCCGAAAGCCCCCCCACGGGGAGGCCGAGGGGGCGGGCGAGGCTGCGCCGACATCAGTGCCCATCGGGGTCCGTGGCTGGGCCACCTTGGCCCTCCTGCGCACGCGCGGATGCCAGCGCCAACTCCCGAGCTCGCATCGCCGATTCCAGCCTTCGCACCAGCGACCGCGGCACCGACGGGGCTCGCGCACACCATGGGCCTTGGCAAACTCCGCAGCAGCGCGAGCGCCTTCGCAAGCTCCGCTCGGGCGCCGTTCGGCGCAGACAGATGCCGACGCAGGCCCCAGCACCAGGTCGGCTTGCCTCTTCCTGGCATCCCTGGGTGCGACGCTAAGGCCCCTTGCGAGGCCATCGGTGCAGCCCCCCACGAGCTCCCGACCGACACGGTGTCGAAGGAAGGCGCCGAGGAGCCACCGACCTGCGGTGGTGACTCCCGCGCGGGCTGGATCTGCTACTCCCTCGGTCTCCGCCCTCCTTCTCTACGCAGCTGCGTCAGGGGCGCCAGGATTGTTCGCGACGCAGGGTGTGCCATGCAGCACCGCTTGGCTATTCCTGCCGTCGTGGCGTGCTCGGCGGGTTGCCTCGGCCCGTCTTCTCCACGAACGCTTGGGCCACGCCTCGCAGAGCCCCCAGTGCGCCACCCCGGCAGCGCCGCTCGGCGGCTCGCCTCCCTGCCCAGGGCGAGCACGGGCCTTGACCTACTTGCCCTCGTGGTCGCCTCGGCGCCGGCGTCTCGCTGGCACAGGCACTGCGGGACCGGCCCGTCGGGGCTCGTGGGCGCGGCGCCGGGCTGCGCGCTTCGGACAGCACCGACCACCGGACGTCGCCTTGCGACGCGCGTGTGCGCCGCGCCGGCACCCGGCCCCACGAGCCCCGAACCCCTCGCGGCTCCCTGCGGCCCCCTGGCCTTGCTTGCTGCTGACCTCTGCCCTACGGAGGCGGGTGCTGGCCTTGCCCGCGCACCTCGCCCGGATTCAGCCTTGCGGAGGCGAGCCGCACCACGGGGTTCACGACGTGCTCGAGTAACGTATCGATGACCAGGCCCACGGGTCTGTGCAACCAAATAGCGTGCACTACGACGCCCCCAAGCGCCATGTCGGACCATCGCAGCGTCCACCACGATGCTCGCGGCCACCGTCACCA